CGCGGACGTTGTCTTCAACTAGGCAGGAGTCACGAAAAACTTCAGCTCCTTTCAATAGGCGAACATCTCGTGCTTCTCACAAAACAGCATGCTCTCATACCGTAGGTGTCAGACAACTAATTTTTTTAGAGAAAGAATCACTTTAAAGGGTCTTTCCAAAAAATTGCTTCTTGTCCTCATCATACACTTTTAGATCAAATGATGCGACGGAATTCATGTCTATGGTTACTGTATATAATGTAAAAGGGCAATATATCGGGTTTTCCTGTTCACTTCCCTCTTTATGCAGGTATAGATGAGGTGTTACTTTTTTTGATCACTACAAGTCTTTAAAATTACAGATTATTTACTGTTGATCAGTCCCTGATGATTTTAAGTAAGGACGGGACATTATCAGAGTTGACGGAGAAGAATCTCAGTGCAAAATTGGATATTCTTTTCAAGAAGAATCTCTTTGATGTTGCTGTTATGTAAGTCGTTTCCCTAATCGAATCTCATCAAGGCGACGTTTCGCAATACCTTCATGCGGAAATTGTTATCTCTCAATATCGTAATTGCAGTCTAGCAAAAAGTAGCAGAGACGGTGCTGAGCACTTGAAGTCCATTCATGCGAAATACGGCGACTATCTTTATGGGTGAATATTGATTTCATTATGACTGAAGCTTTTCTAAATTGTAGCATTTTCTTAGCAAAGGAGATTTCAACAATGCTGTAAGCGAATACAAGGAAACGATAGGAATGCTAGAGCCTTCTTATGTTATAAAAAGAGTTAGTTCACCGTTTGAATATCACCATTCTATTCTGGAAACCAATGGTTTAGTATCTCGATGGATCTCGTCTGCGGCAGTTATGCGTCTACTTGGAGGCCTTACATGATACCGATCGTTACACTTTGTATCACACAAATATTCTCTTGAATTGTTATGCCCAGCTCGAAGAAAGGAAAAAAATTCAAAATTTCTTGGAAAAAGTAGCTCTGGATGGAAGGACAGACATGTCAAGCATATTTGAGGTAGGCACTTTAGAAGTAGTACCTTTCTATGGAAACTTCCCGACTACTGCAGGGTTGCATCATTTCATTAAAAATGGAATTTTCGTAATTTGAGTTTGATCGGACCAGTTTGATCACCTTTCCAACATCCTTTTATAAAAAAAAACTATATGCGTTGCGGAAAGTTGAGTATATTTTGATAAGTGTTTTTCGATAGCATGTCCTTAGAAGATCAATGACATTCTACTTGCTCAGATTTCAGATCTTCTTGCTTCAGGTCCTTCGCTCCCTAAAGATGTCCGAAGATGCAAGTTTTCTTGCAGTAAAGCTAAGTATGCATGATCACGCCCTGTCAATGATGATAGAAGATCTTGGTCGGCACGCCACTGCTATTAAGTACATCTCAAAACGTCCACCAGATGAGGTACTTGGTAATGTTTTTTTATATATATAAGAGGAGACTATAGTAATAAATTTAGGCTTGTCAATACATTGAAAAGTATGGACGACTGCTTTTTGAGGCTTGCCCAGATGAAACGACGGATCTGCTGCAGCATCTCATCGAAAATTCTCCTGGAAGTAAGCACTGTTTGCAGCTTTAAAAAATTGATCATACATAGACATTAAGGGATCACACTAGCTCGATAATCACCTTTTCTATCTCTGCGGAATAAAATAAACAGCGAATAGAAGATTTCATGTCTTTGAAAAAATAGCCGTTCAGAAGTTCAAAGCTAATCTACAGGAAAAAAATTCAGTTTCATCTCTTTTATAAAA